AGAAGCCAGGAGCTTCTTCTGCATCTCCCACATGGTGCAGGAGCCCAAGGACTTGGGCCATCTTCTGCTGCTTTCCCAGGCACATTAGCAGGAAGCCAGATTGGAAGTGGAGCAGCCAGAGCTCACATGGTGCCCATAGGGGATACTAGCACTGCAGGCAGAGGCTTAGGCTTCTGTGCCACAGCGCCAGGCCCTGGTTTAATTCTTCTTCATTAAATTGCTTTGCAAGCCAATACAACAACACACTAATGTTTTATATATGTGATGCAACCTGAGTCATGTTAGCCTTCTGCTTTTAAATCTATTGGGGAGGGGGGCGATGCTGTGGCTTAGCAGGTAAAGCTGACATCTGCACTGCCAGCATCCCATTCGGGCACTGGTTCGAGTCCTGGATGCTCCACTTCCGATCCAGCTCCCTGCTAATGCACCTAGGAAAGCAGTGGAAGATGGCCCAAGTGGTTGGGCCACTGCCACCCACATGGGAGATCTGGATGAAACTCCCGGCTCCTGGCTTTGGCCTGAGTCAGCCCTAGCCATTGCAACCTTTGGGGGAATGAACCAGCTGATGGAATAACTCTCTCTCTGCCTCTCCCTGTAACTCTTTCAAATAAAAAAAAATTAAATAAAAACAAAAAGACTAAATGCTGAGGTCTCCATATCTCAGTGTAAGCAAACAAAATTTCCTTTAAAAAAAAAAATGTTTCGGGGGCCAGTGTTGTGGCTCAGTAGGGTAAGCCATCTTGGCCTGCAAGGTTGGCATCCATATGGGCGCTGGTTCAAGTCCCAGCTGCTCCATTTGCAACTGGGCTCCCTGCTAACGCCCCTGGGAAAGCAGCGGAAGATGGCCCAAGTACTTGGGCCCCTGCCACGTGAGTAGGAGACGCAGAAGAAGCTCCTAATTCCTGGCTTTAGCCTGGCCCAGCCCTGGCCGTCGTGGCCATTTGATGAGTGAGCCAGCAGATGCAAGATCTCTGTCTCCCTCTCCCGCTCTGTAATTCTGCCTTTCAAGTAAATACATAAAATGTTAAAAAAAAAAAAGAAAAAGAAACAGCTCTGCTTGTCAATGCCAAGATGAAACTTGTTGATAAACCTAGCTAGGCAAAGCAGCCACTATTAGTTGAAGAGTAGAGAGGAAAAAAATAACCCTGTTTGGAACCTCATATACCTGCTGATGGAAATGTAACGTGGTACAGGAACTTTGGGAGATAGCCTTCGTATGCTTAAACATTTACTGTACCACCCAGCAATTCCATTCCTAGATATATACCCAAGAGAAACATAAACATATGTCCGCATAAAGAGTTGCACACAAATATTTACAGAGGGATTATTTAATAGCTCACAGGTGGAAACAACCCAAATGTCCATCATCTGACAAAAGGATAAACAAAATGCGGCACAGTCATGTAACGGAACACCAGCCAATAATCTGAGGGAGAAAATTCTGAAACATGCACTGACCTTCAAAACAGTACACAAGGTGAAAAAGAGGCTGTCACACCACCCATGGTGTGTGATTCCACTGATAAGCACCCTCCAGAACAGAGACAACTAGAGAGACAGAGAGCAGCCTAGAGCTTGCCTCAGGCTGGCGGGGTGGGACCAGGGAAGAACCAGAGGGTACAAGTTCCTTTGTGGTTGATGAGGGTTTTGGTTGCATGTAACTGTGAACATGCTAAAAGCTATGGAATTACTTGTATGGTTGTGAATTATAACTCTAATGCTGCCATTAAAAAAAAAAATCTGTTCTGAGACATGAGGACTTGGGAACCAGCAAACCTCTCGTACAAAGCCCTTCTGGTCAGTGGTAAAAGCTTTAGTGGAGCTAAAGTCCAATTTACTTTGTTGTAATTGGAAGCAGCTTGCAGTATTTTGATATGTACATTTCTAAAATGTGAATGCAGTTTAAGACAACACATTATTACATCAGATGTTCCAGGCAGAGTGCCATGAGACATTTTCACTCACACACAAAAAAACTTAACAGGAATCTATTTAGTCAGCCTCAGAGTGTAGGATCTCCTCCTCCTGTCTCATCTCCCTGTAAGGTATGGTTACTTCACTCATTAAGTCAACAGACAGCGGAAGCCTTATGTGCATGGGGCAAGGTTCTAGGCGTGTGTGTGTGGACAGGAACAAGACATCGGTCCTGCCCTCACTGGGCTTACAATCTAATACTAGGACAGCATAAACACTAAGTGTGTGCCAGTTTTTAAAAACAGGGTTCTGAGCTAAGGAAGGGCACCACTTTATATGGAGTAGCTAGGAAAGGCGGCCTTCCTGAGGAAGTGAAAAGTTGCCAGACACACTGGTCAGGGAGTACTGGAATGGCACCATGAGGAAGCCCAGGCTTCCTGGGAGTCCTACTCCCCAGCCTCACACAAGGATGCCAGGCATGGTGACCTGCAGGCTGTGGCTGGACTGAGACGGCTCCCCTGCCTCGGACCACTGGAGGGGCTTCCAACTCTCAGCAGGAGGAAGCCCTCCCTGGTTCAGCCAAGCCCAAAGTGATCTTTCCACCCTGGCTCGTGCCTCTCAGCCAACTGTCATATATACCACTTCTCTTCCCCCCCACCCTACCACTCACAGACAAACCAGATATGGAACCCATAGTCCTTAAGGTAGAGAATAACCTAGAAGCACAAAATATGCAGGCATAAACAAGAGATAGGAGGCAGGAAGTCAGAGTGGGCCATGAAGACAGCTACAAACTCCAAGAACACCCAGAGCCTGCTGCAGCAGAGGAAGCCTCAGGCAGTAGCTCTGAAACCCGAGGACGCGGACAAGGTGGGCAACAGATCTGCTAGACCTCTCACTAACTTCGAAATTATTTCAATAAGCCTGGCCAGGTTATAAGCTCAAGGAGAGGAGGCCCGATGCTCTGTGGTATTCGGCACAGTATGAAGGTACTTCAAAAAGTTCATGAAAAGTGGAATTAAAAGCACATTTAGGTGAAAAATGTTGAAACCCATCATTTTTTCACAATGTGCACTTCCATTAACTTTTTGAAGCGCTCCCGTATTTTGCAGAGTCGGGCAGTTCACTTGTTGACTCACTGTTAGGAGATGAGTGGTCAAGATAGAAGGCGTTGCCGGCGCCGCGGCTCACTAGGCTAATCCTCCGCCTAGCGGCGCCGGCACACCAGGTTCTAGTCCCGGTCGGGGCGCCGGATTCTGTCCCGGTTGCCCCTCTTCCAGGCCAGCCCTCTGCTGTGGCCACGGAGTGCAGTGGAGGATGGCCCAGGTGCTTGGGCCCTGCACCCCATGGGAGACCAGGAAAAGCACCTGGCTCCTGGCTCCTGCCATCGGATCAGCGAGTTGCGCCGGCCGCAGCGCGCTGGCCGCGGCGGCCATTGGAGGGTGAACCAACGGCAAAAGGAAGACCTTTCTCTCTGTCTCTCTCTCTCACTGTCCACTCTGCCTGTAAAAAAAAAAAAAAAAAAAAAAAAGATAGGAGGCGCTGTCCCACAGGGACGGGGCAGGGGAGGGCCGTGGGCTTTTGTGTTTCACTGCAGGTCAGAAACCTTCCCTCCTATCACTTTTGCTGGGAGGCTTTTCGAGAGAGCCAGGGCCACAGAAGATGAAGAAATCATGTAAATTCATTGGAGAGTCAAATGGGAACTAACAAAGCACAGCCTTTGATACGGGCAATTCAGTGGATTACGTAACGGTGGAGGACTCAAAGGCAGAGTTTTGAAAAAGTGGACAATTCTTGGGGCCGGTGCTGCGGTGTCGGCATCCCACACAGGCTCCAGTTCGAGTCCCAGCTGACCTTCTTCTGATCCAGCTCCCTGCTATGGCCTGGGAAGGCAGCAGAAGATGGGCCAAGTGCTTGGGCTCCTGCACTCACGTGGAGGACCTGGAAGAAGCTCCTGGCTTCAGATCGGCTCAGCTCTGGCCATTGTGGCCAACTGGGGAGTGAATCAGTGGATGAAAGAACTTTGTCTTTCCCTCTCTCTAACTCTACACCTCAAATAAATAAAATAATTTTTAATGGACAATGTGCCTTTAAGTCACTCGAGTAAACAGAATGCCTTTCTGCAGAAGACCCCTTGCCAGCACCTGCTGCCCTCGTGCTCAGACCAGCACACAACGCCGAGGGTCATCTTAAAAGGCCTTCGTGTCTATCTTTTTAACTTGAGCCTTCTCAAAAGCCTCACGCCATCTGTCACTGGCACTGTACTTTATCTGATGTGGTTTCCTCTCAACTCAGCTTCCCAGTGATGTTTAAAATCTTGTGGACATATTTAAATTCTTGACACAGACCCTGTCATAAAATTGGTTCATTAGGGTCAAAAGGTAGAAACAAAATTCTGCCACATTGTAAATTTCCAGTGCAGGCTTTAATTTTTTTTTTCATTAGTAGCACTGGAAAAAAATATTACTGCACAAGTATGTTACAGTTTCATTGTTAAAGTTTTAAAGGCTCACTTGAGGCATACCTCACTATCTGCTCACTGGTGATTTAACCAGGCCCCTACGTATTCCTTTTCTCCTGCACCTGATGAAGCCCAACAAAGCTTTTGTTTTGAAACAAATGTGGCTACCTTGTCCAGGGAGAGAGAGCCAGACTTTTTTTCCTTTTTTTTTGGCGTGGTCAATTTTAGCACTGAAGGCAAAGCTGAATTATTCTCGATTTGGTGAGGCTTTGGACTTTGAAACAGGTAACTGATGATCCCCAGCCTTTTAATGCATCTTTCATATCACTTCAGAGGAACACGCCTAAGACCCTTCCTAAAATCTAATAAATATACATACATAACGCACATAAAATGTTTTATGCCTAAGTTCAGAATCTCTCAAGATTCATTTTAAACTTCTACTGCTGATGTCCGTATTTAAAATATCTTTTTTCCTGATAAGTTTCCCAAAGTTTCCCACCCAGTCCCTCAAAATCCCTTCTCATTCCCAGCAAAACATCTTAAGCCAGAGAAGAAAAGACAAACATTTCTTAAGGCAGTGTCTCAACATCTCCAAAAAATATTCCATGGCCAAACTCACCATAAAGAGCTGTCCAAGTTTGATTAATTACATCTAGACACACAGTTCCTGACCTGAAACAGATGGAAAGAATGGCATTTTTTAAAAACTTAGAAAGTCAGTTGCATGTGTTTGGCAACTTTTTATCAAGATAAATAATTTTAATAGATCCTTAAAAAAATCCCTGTAGGGGAACAGCATGAGTATTTACAACGTCTGAAGTATCTCCTTAAAACCGAAAGGGAAAGATGGCAGCTACACCGTGGAGAAACCGGACGGCACCTGAGCCAGGTGATCAGAAATAACACTGGGAGCCGGGGCGCCAAGACCATGGAGGCCTCTGGATGTGACTGGAGAAGGACTCGATCTTACCACTTTGTGGTTTTCTGGCCTTAGGCAGGCCCTGCGTCTAACAAAGAAACCTCAGACAAACCTAAATTGAGAGACAATCTGTAAAATAACTAACTGTCTCTAGTCTTTAAAAATGAAGATTTCATAAAAGAGGAAGGCAGGCCAAAGAATTAAAGAAACGTGACAACCAAGTGGAATGCATGATTGTGGTGTGGACCTTTGCTGGAAGAAAAAAAGGCGCAGAAAGGTACACGGTTGGCATGTGGCAGGGGATTAGATGCAAAAGCCCTGAGTCAGTGTTAACTCCCCGAATCTGACGGCTACAATGTGGGTACCCGAGAGATCGCCCTTGCTAGAACGATGGCTGACACACTAACTCAGGATTACAGGACAGAGGGGAGTATGCATGTGCACAACCTACTCCCAGGGGTTCAGGAAAACCTCCCATGCGAGAGAAACAGCAACATTTAGTGCCTTAACAAGTAAAAACTACAGTCCAAATAGCCATGTACTCTGAACAGTACTGGGAGTACAAAACAGGACACACTGGGATCCTACTTTAAAACATCACTAATACAATATCAGGAAAGAAAGGGATGATTAGGATTCATTAACAAATGAAAGGCCAGTCTTAGTTGCCTTACTCTCAAAAAGTGAGAAACATTTCAAGGGCTGAAAACAGTACACTTGTGTGCTGAAACAGATGTCTGAATTCATCTGTGCAGAGAGAAGTGACACGTGGAGTATTACCCACGTTGACCGGAAACCCAGGGAAAAGGAGCAACAGCGCCACAGGGTTGAACTCAGTGGTTTGAAGACCGTATCCCTACGAATCTGTAGTTCAAGGGACCATTCATACAATATAAATTCCTGAGAAAATCCAAAAAGATCATTGGGATTTTTGGGTTTTTGTTTTTAAACAGCAGGGAGAGAGAGGGAGAGAGGGAGTGAGAGATGAACTTGAATCAAGAACAGTTGCTGCTAAAATTTAAACATTTTAAAACAGTTACTTACGCTTCATCAATGTTGGGGTGGAAAATTTTATTCATGAATCCTGTAAAAAGAGATGTTAATTAGCAGCAAAAAGGACGCAGTGAACAATTAGCTTTAAAGTAGTTCAGCTCTGAAAACGACTTCATTGTGGAAGAGGAGGATTTCACTCCTATGGCCTCACCTGCCATCTCCGATCCCTGATGCCTGGTAAGACTATCCTCCCCTAACAGCTTCAAGTAATTAAAATACACTTAATAAAATAAAATAAAATAAAATAAAATAAAATAAAATAAAATACTTGTCTATTCTATTAACAGACAAGTGAACTTTGGGGACAATGCAGCTTCTTACACAAAATCATTATTAAAGCAACTGTTTTCTAAGCGATGCAGGACTCCCAAAACAGAATGTGTAACACTAAAGGGCTTATGACTAGTGTCAGGATCAGGCCACCGGGCTCCTGTCCGACTCCGAGCTCTGGAGGTGAACTGTCCAAGCTCTGCACCCGGAGGCTCTTCCTTTGAACTTCTCCTTCTGTAGCTCATTTACTGGTACCACCAGGCTACACCTTGTGCGGAACATGAATGAAGCTGTTGAAATGCTAAAGGAACACAGTTTCCAAACCACAAAGGATTTGTTAACAACAGTGGCCAAAATATTTCCTTTAACTTTAGCCTACTCATTCAAAGAAACCCAGTTTTGACTAAAATTGAGGCCACCAGGAAATGAGGCAGAGTTTTTTTTTAATTTTTTACCATGACTGTCAGGCACTGACTTTTTTTTTTTTTTATTCCTCAAACAAGTACAGGATTTGACAAACTTGTTGCTATTTAAATTTCAAAGAGAAATCAATGCACCCCTCATCTCATGGTGATTAAATCAGTACCCTATGCATGGGAAGGACAAGCTCTCCCAGGGAGACCCACTGTCAAAGCTGCCACTTTGTCATCTTAGCTATGCATTTCCTTTGAGGACTCCCATATTTCACCTCCCACTGTTAATAACTGTCTTTAGGAAGACAATTCGCACCACTAGGTCCTGGCCCACCTTCCCCTGCTCTCCCCACAGGTTCTCTTATTCACCTGTTCAAAACATCCTGATCAGCACAATGGCCAGACACTGGGCTTGTTTAGGACACAAAAATAAGACAGCGCATTCTTCTCCAGGGGGTCCCCGCAGCAGTGGGACAAGAGTGAAGAAACTGTACTGTGTACAAAATCGTGACACGGGAGGGGTACACACGTGTGGGAAGAGAAGAGAGGAAACACACAGGAGTGACTGGAGGAGGAACCCCAAATGAGCTGCTACAGCCTCTGTCTCCAAAAATCTAAGAAACTTCCCTCCACTTAGAGAACAGGGGACAAGAATACAAAATCTCAGGTACTCCAACCTCTGATTGCTCAAATACTAATCACTTCCGGTTTTTGTTTCTGAAGGCTTTGTGTTGAACTAATTTAACGTTTTATCCACTACCAACAAGAGAGGCTGTGAGTTGTTCAAATTATCCTCCTGCAAAAAAGAAAAGGCTGGTGTACAACATTAACTCTTCATTCAGGAAACAGGATGCTTCAAAGTCTAGATTTAAGAGGGACGTGGCTGTGATAGCTGATGGAAACATCCCTGCCTCAAAGCCAAGAGGAGAGTGGCAGGTGTTCCACTTGACAGTTGAGGCCCTTGTATCCCGTATCTGGGTGCCTGGGTTTGAGTCCTGGCTCTGGCTCTCGACTCCGGCTTCCTGCTAATGGGTACCAGGGGAGGCGGCTGGATAAGGCTCAGGTAGTCAGTCCCCTCTACCCTCAGGGGAGACTTGGACTGAATCCCCAGCCAAGTCTCAGTTAGTGCAGGGGCTTGTGGGGCGCACCAGCAGATGAGCTCGCTCTGTGTGTCTCTCAAAATAAATGTTACACAGAGGAGAAAAAGGTAAAAAAAAAAAATTCTACTCAACCCCAACACACATGTCCAAAAGGGCCAGTGAGGACATCTGTAGCAGCACTGTTGACAAAAGCCAAGAACCATATCCAACTGTATCAACAGGACCAGACTGCAGTATCCTGGTAATGACTAGATCAGTGTGTATCAACTCAGAACTAAAACTCGGTTAAGAAACAGAAGTTGTAGAATGATATACTTGCAGCACGACGTCATTCCAACACATTAAAACAAAGCAGTACTCTCTACGCTAAGTGGTAACCAGTATGTACAGGAAAACTGTACTGAGCCAACACATCCCAAACTTGCAAAAGAAATCACTTCAGTTTGGGTCCAGGGCCGTGCTCACAATGGGAATAGGGAACAAAACAGGACATGGTTAAAAATGGCTATAACATTATATTCCTTTGAGAAAGAGGCCAAGTGCTTGTATATTATCTGTTGTTATTTTTAGAGTGTGCACAGGTAGATGTGGACAACTGTTAAGAAGTGCTGAATTACTAATGGTGGGAGTGTTTTCTCCACAGTACTTTGCAAATTCCATTGCCCCTCCCAACCATCCAGGTACCGAATCCCAGTAATGGAAGTGGCTAAGATGACACGCAGGTGTCAGTGTAATGTGTGTGAGAAACTTTCCCATTATTTCTACTTTGAACCCCTTAAATGTCTACAATGTGCCATTCTAATAGTTTTTTTTTTTTTTAAACAACTCTTTCAGGTAAGACCACCCTCAGGTGCCAGGGCCGATCCTCGATCCTTGCAGTAGATATGGGGACATACTGCTACGGGCTGCAAGGGAGCAATGAGCTGAGTGGGAGTAATGAACCACCCACGTGACTTAATTCAAGATGCGTTCTTGATACTTAAAACCTTGCCTTTGCTAACGTTTCAAAACTACCCCTTGCGAGCAGGCGTTACGCTGGCATCCCACATCTGAGTGCCCGGGTTCAGTTTCTAGCTCTTGCTTCCTGCTGATGTGGCTCCTGAGAGGCAGCAGTGATGGCTGAAGTATGTGGGTCCCTGTCACTCATGTGGGAGATCTGGCTTGAGTCCCTGGCTCCTTAGCTTTGGCCATTGTGAGCAGCTGGGGATGAACCAGCAGAGGGCAACTATCTAAGGAAGGGGGCTTCCGAAAACCCAGTAAAGAGTGTCTATGTTAAAAGTTCTCAACGCTGGGACTGGGTTGTGACGCAGCAGATTAAGCTGCTGCTTGCCATACCGTCACCCTGCTATTCCCCCTGCCCTGAAAATGTGCCAGGGAGGCAGCAGATGATGGCCTAAAGACTTGGATCCCTGACACCTACATGGGAGACCCGGATGGAGTTCCTGGCTCCTGGCTCCAGCCTGGCCATTGCGGACATTTGGGGAGTGAACCAGTGGATGGATGATCTTTCTCTTCCTCCGCCTCTCAAATAAATAAAGAAATCTTAAAAAAGAAAAAGCAAATTCCCAATGCCGGCTACAGATGAGAATTCCCCTTGCAAGCTCTTCAGAAGGCACAGGTCACGCTATGTTAGAAAGCGGTGAATGTTAAGGAGGAAAAAAAAGTGGCAAGGCCAGGGTGAGGGGCTGCACTTCTGGGGAAGGAGGTTTACTTTGCAGGAGGCAAGGGAGGAGCCCCGTCTCCGCAGCAGGGACAGCCCAGTGCAGAGCACAGCAGTTTACTTCTGTATTTGAAGAATAGCAAAGACACTAGTGAAATCAAAGTGGCGTGAGCGAGGGGTGGCAGATTACAGTGGGGTCAGAGGGGTGATCAGCATCTGGAGTCCTTTGAAGGACCGGGCGCTCCTGTGGAAGACGGAAAGCCACTCCCATCAGTGCCCAAACCCGGATCCTGCGCTCACGTTCTCAGGTTTCAGAATCAATGGCTTGTCCTCTCAAAGGAGCGGAGCAATGGCGCACAGCACCTCAGGGCTCGGGAAAGGATGGAGAAAGCCGATCTCAAGCAAATGGAATGGAAAGCCTACAGAGGAGTTCAGCTTCAACTACCTGATGCCAAGAGCACCTGCAAAGTGTAAGACAAGAGCTGTGGCGAAAAGAGCTTTAAATGTTTACCAAAACTGTATCTGAACGATCAACGGCCTCCCCCACCATCCATGCGTGGAGAGTACATTTGAAATCAATACGGTTTCCACACACTGTTTTCCCTTAGATCTAGATTTGGCCAGGAGTATATAATAGAGAGGACATAGTAAACATATGCTTTAGTAATTAAATGGGTTGAGCCCAGTTTCCAGAGCCTCTGCTAAGAATAAAATATCATTGAGCTCTCGGACCGAGGGCAGCAGCAGAATACCAGGTGCTAAAGAGGGCTGTGGGTTCCAACGCTGACTTTGCCATCAGCTGCAGGCGCTGGAAAATCTCTTTACTTCCGGAGGTCTGTTCCTTCACCCATGAAGACAACAGCATGACCCGCAAAACCTCTCTGTTTTAAAAACATGTATGTATGTACTGGAAAGGCCGAAAGAGCGGGGTGGGGGTGGGGGACAGATTTTCTGCCTGCTGGCTCACTCCCCCGCATTCCCCCAAAGGTCAGGGCCGTGCCAGGGATCCAAATACTTGGGCCACTTTCCACTGCCTCCCCAGGTACATTGGCTTGGACCAGCACTCCAATAGGGGATGCTGGCATCACCAGCAACAGCTTAACCTGCTGTGCTACAATGCGGGTTCCCTCCTCTTTACTCCTGAGGGTCTATCGGCTCTAAAAATCTAGGGTTTAGTAACAGCCGAAACTCTGGGAACTAAGCTCTCAAAGGAAATTAATTCTGTAAGGAAGCATTTTTAGGTACAGAAATATTCTGGAAAATATAAAACTACCAACGTGCTAAAATACCACGAAGAACCACAAAATCCGCTATTCCCAAGTAGGCAGAAACAGAGTTTATAACCTTGCCTTTCAAGAACAAGCACAGTAGACCAACTCTACCAAAAAACAACTTTCACTGAAAGGATCTCTTCCAATAGCAGGCTTCTTTAATTGTTAGAAAAATATTCAAAGCAAACCAATGGAAAGGAACATATTTCCCTGGCATTTGTTCCTGGACGAGCGATGGACAGTGTTTCTGGCAAAGCCATTCCACGCTGGACGAGGATGCCAACAGTGGAATTGTGGATGACGAGGGGAGGCGGCTG